AAAAAAAAAAAAGAAAGTGAGATAGTATTTTAAGTTGTTTTGTGGAAAGATGAGCTTTGCTAGCATTGACTCTGATCTGGATCTCAGGTTAGCTCTGGATATTTTACTTACTTCTGTGTGTTTCAAGCTTGTTATGTTCATACAATCAACTACTAAATATATACGCAATTTGGAAAAAAACCTGAAACATTTAAGCACTCAACATATTAATGATTTTTATATTGGTGATATTTATTAATGTAATAAATGACAACTCAGATTAAACTTCATATGTATAACTTTTCCTAATCACTTAATAACTTCCACTTTGTATCTTCCTATAGGTGCCATTGGGGTATTTTGAAACTACCACTCATTTGAACTTCTTGGTTTCTAAGTTTTTCAGTACCATTCCCTGGCTTTTACTGTTTCTCCCGTACTTATCGATTTTATTGATGGTGATCATGGGAATGACGATGATGCCATAACAATAGCCCATGGACAGATGAAGAGCAGGCCCTAAAGTCAAATACAAAAGTCACATTTTCATGCGCTGAAACATGCGGACAATGGCACGGCGGATCTCCTTTGTTTTGACACTATAAATGAGAGGGTTGAGTACAGGAGGCACAAAGAGGTAGACATTTGACATGAGGACAAGTATGTAACGAGGGACATGCTTTCCAAATCGATACACAGTGGATACCCCAATCATTGGTACATAAAATGCAAGTACAGCTAAAATGTGTGACACGCAGGTATTGAGAGCTTTGAGACGTTCTTCACGGGAAGCAATGGCCATAACAGAGCGCAAAATAAGCACATAGGAGAGGAATATGAAAAGGACATCCATGCTAAAAGTGGATAGGAGAACAAAGAGCCCATAATAGATGTTGATGGTGATGTCAGCACAGGCCAGCTTCATCATGTCTGGATGCAAGCAGTAGGAATGGGAAAGAATATTGGATTTGCAGATTGGCAGCCTTTTGATGAGAAAGGGAAGAGGAAAGAGGGTGATAAAACTGCGGACAGTCACAGCACAGCCCATTCCAGCAATGATTTCATTGGTGAGCACCGTGGCATAGCGCAAGGGGTGGCAGATGGCTACGTAGCGATCAAAACTCATGGCCAGGAGAATACCGGACTCCATCATGGAGAAAGAGTGTATGAAAAACATCTGAACTAGGCAAGCATCAAAAGGAATGCTTCGGGCATCCAGGCAGAAGGTTCTCAGAACAGTGGGTAGCGTAGCCACAGACATGGCCACATCACTAAAGGACAGCATAGACAGGAAATAGTACATAGGTTGATGGAGGCTGGGCTCTACTCGAACAACATGCAGGATCACCGTGTTGCCCCCAAGGGCCACAGCGTACATGACACAAAGGGGTCCTGCCAGCCAGGAGTTAAAGCTCTCCAGACCAGGCAGGCCAGTCAGGAGGAAGGAAGCAGGGTGAGTAACATTGAACAACCCCATGGGAGGAGAAAGCAGGTTACTTTTCAACGTCAGACCACTTGACTTAGCTTGGAAACTTCTGAGTTGTATTTAAATTTTTCTAAAAACTTGGAAACTTGAAGAATTCCGTGACTTGTGCATACTGGAGGAGAAGAAACCAGGGAATAAGAGACACAGCAGATAACATCTACACATTTGGGAAGGATACATTCATGAACTCCCTAGTATTAGGAAAATGCAGGCAAAATTCTTTTCCATATTATACAATTGTTAGGCTACAAGTTGCCCTAATATTCCCCTTTGTATTGTGAAAGAAGGAAAACATTGCCAGAAACTTCCAACATATTAATTAATTAATGGAAAAACTGTTAATATTATAATGCACAGTTAAAACTGTATTTTAGAGAATTATCATTCAACAGAAATATGTTCATTAAAATCATGGGTTGATATTACAGGAATACAGATATTTTAATTATAAATGGATTCATATACATTTGATTATTTCCTTGATATATTGTTAAATTCAAATGTCCCCAATTCATGGAACCATTCCCAAAAATGAGTTCAAACGATGGTGTGTATTTGGGCAGGGACTGGGAATAGTAGTTGGATTGGGGTATGGAGATGAATGACTGCCCTGGACATCACTTTTTCTTTGACATAATTTTTAATTACCAAAATTGCTACACACACACACACACGTGCAACAAATACACCGTATGTCTGTGAAAATAAATACACAAACCTATTTATATTTTTGGAGAAAATGTGTATTCTCTCCCAAATTTCCTATCTGTATACTTTCCACTGGGAGGACATTACTCTGTATGTAAACTTTCACATCTTTAGACTCCACGTATTACCTTTCACACACTTACACAATTATACTACTCACAAAATATCCATTATTCATATGCACACGTTCATTCACCTTTACATTGCCATTGATACCTTCCAAAAAAATTCCCCAGTCGCTCTATTTCTTTCTCATACTCTTACCGTCTTGTACACATACCTTCATATATTCCCTCTTGAGCTTATGATATGCATGTATCCAGTCATGTTCATCATTGCAGTGCACATTAACATACATGCAATATGTATATATGCTTACACATTCAGGTTTGCATGCTAATTTGTGCACTCATGGAACTCGCCTAGACACACACTCATAGACTCCTGCACACCCATCACTATTGTCCAACTCATCCACATTGACTTTTCTTCCCTCCATTTGATTATATTCAATTACAGTGTTTTTTAAGTAGCCCTCACATTATTTACTCACATTTTAGGAGCTAACATACATCCAGTTCAGTCAGAATGATGATATTGATTATCATCTGTTATTTGGATACATTTAGTTCTTTCATGCTCAATATCTCATGGTGGATAAAAATCATGACGAGAAAGCTCCATATTATCACCTGGCAGACGTATTTCAGGCTTATAAGGTGCCCATTTTGAAGTGGGTGCCTTATAAATAGTGACACAACAATATTTTCTTTCTTCTTCCTCTCTAAACCCTAACACAGCAATGTCAAAGCTCATCCTCAGAGTTCTGACTTCTCAATGTGAAGGAGGAAGTGGCCGTAGAGTCTTAGGTATCTGGAGGCCGTAACTAGGTTGGCATGATGTACAATGTAGTGGTATCACACTAGGGTGAAGTATTGATTTCTTCGGACAATGAAGAACTAAGGTCCTCCTATGATACCAAGCAGGTCAGTGTTTATATTGAATATACCTGGTAGTTACATAATTTCATGTCAGTTTGAAGACATGAAAGTGTGGGATGATATTCAACCCACCAATCAGGTCACCGTCTGATGATGCCCTTTGTGGTCTGCTCATGAGGAGGGCCCAGACAACCTCCCATTCTCTCTCTTTACCTTCAGGTTTGCTGGCCACTCTTTGAGCTGTTGGAGCCCTGCCATGTCTCCCCAACTGTGCACGCACTGGCCTGTGACCTCCCTGCACGCTTACAACACTGCATGTGGCTGTATGAGTCAGAAGCAGGGCTGATGGACTACAGTCAGACTGTGGAATTGAGATGGACTGGAGTGGGGTGTTTCCTTGGTATGCAATTGCTTCTTGATAGTCTTTCTTACACCTATCGGAGTGTCACTGGATTTGTTTCCCTAGTCAACCGTGCCTAACCCCACACCTCTTCTGGCTTTAGAGCTTGGCCTGAGGCTGCCTCCCTCCCTCCATCCCTTCCTCCCAGGATTATGACTCTGTGATCCAGAGCTGGTCAACCTATCTTTGTTTCCATGCTTTACAGAGAGTCTCACAAAAGGGGATCAAAAGCTGAAAGGCAGAATGGAGATGAAGTCAAGGGAACACAAATAGAGGGAAGAGGAAAATGGGCATCCAAAGCAAGGTCTGTCCCTGGCTGAGCTAAAGTTGTTCTGGATCCGAAGATGGTAGTGTTTAGTATTTGTAGAATGGAGGCTGAGTGATGAGGTTAGAAAGGTACGGAATCAGAATTGAACAATTACTTCCACAATCAGTCTCTGAATATACTTGTCCTTCCAGGACTCCTTTACATTGTCTCCCTTTTATCTCCCCACCAATTGTAAATTTCTGCTTGGTGTGATTGAACTATGAAATGATACGACAAATATATTAACTCCCAAGTAACAACAAAATTGTTTAAAAGAAAGTAAAGAAAAAGGCATAGATCCACAAATGGATTTGGGGTTCGCATTAAATCCCAGCTCCAACTTAAAAGTGATTAGTTCTTACATCATGGCCATGCTCAATGCTCACCCTTGGGAAGGGAACACAGAAGATATGGTGGTATAGCTAAATGTGGTGAAGAATGCCCAGCTGCCAGATAAAATAGCATCTGGGGTCCTAAAGGCTTGTCTCCAAATAAGCAGCCATCTAAGTGGGATGTTAAGTAAGTGGAAGAAGCACACCGTCATCAGTAATCGAAGGACTATAATAAATATAATTTCAAGTCACAGGAGGGATCAGTATCAGCATCTACATTCTGAGAATCTGATGTGCTGTAGGCAATGGATGACAGTGGGAGCCCAAGATTCATTTATGGAACTACTTAGGAAATAAGCCTGCAGAGAGCTCTCCTATCTAAAACTGAGGGATGGGAGGGAAGGGGTCACTAAACAGAGCGTTTGGAAGAGACCCAAGTATTGAAGGCCAAAGGCACAAATCTGACTTGAACAGTTAAAACTTTGTCAGTAAACCCCCTCTATGATATAGGCTGGACCGGATCTGGAATCCAGAATTTTAAGTACTTTTGTTTGTGTTGTTTGACGTTTTGTTTATTCACATTAGGGTGTCTCAGAGATGTTCTGTCATTGGAGGTGACCCTTTTGAAGTTGTGTTATATGCTTTTCCATTTTCTGGTACATGAACCCCAGGATTGATGGATTTACAGGGACAGCAAGTAGATAAGGGTTTCAGGGAGAGGGGGACACAGAGGTGCCGTGGGCCGGTGAAAAGGAGATGACGCCAAGGAGCCCACGTAGAAAAGCAATGTGTGGAAACTGAGTGTGATAGCAGTTGTACAATTCTGTTTGACATGACTGAACTATGGAGTGATATATGGATTAAATCCCTCTTAATTAAAAAGAAATTGTGGAATCCTACCTCTCCCCATACCCAGACAACTAACATTATGTGTTATTTGTTTTGAAATGAAAGAATACAGAAAAAAGCTGCTAATACTTACTATCTTCCATGTGCCAGATAGACTGCAAGAAACTTTGCATCTGTTATTCATCTAACCTTCAGCTGATTTGAAAACTGAGCCCCAGTGGGTTCCGCTTGCCTCATCATTCAGAGCGAGTTGATAATAAAGCCTCCATGTTAACAGAGATCTGTAAGACACCTTAGCTTCTTATTGACATTTTTAAGGCATCACTAGGGTAGGATTGGGACTGTAGAGGCAAGCAAAAAGGAAACTAGATCTATGCATTCCTGGATGAAGATTTCTGAGCATCACTGAAAAAGAGAGTAAGTAGTTAAAGGCAGAGACTTCTGTGCAGAGGATGAGGCAACAGGGAACCCGTCTCCATGGCTGAACTCAGTTTCTTCTCCTGGAACACAGGCTTTCTTAAGCTCACTGTTTCCCTGTGGACGATATTGCCCCTTGGGGTGGGGGCTGGAATGATCCAGGGTGGCTGCAAACGCACATCTCTACACTTTCTTTTAGATAGTACAACAGTTCTCCATAGTCAGTGGGGCACTGATATTTTTTTCCCTGAAATGGGGCTGTAGTCAAATAAGTTATTAACCTAAAACTATACCTGAAGCCATTTAGCAACAGGCTAGAAGTGATTAGTGTCCATGGCTCATTGAAAGGTTATGTCTGAAAGATTTCTCTTACTCCTTTCATTTCTTGGGTACCTTTACATTTCTGTCATCTTCAAATACATACAGAAAAAGCAAGGTCATTGAGACCAGCTCATTAAGTTTGAGCCATGGCGGTGGTTGTCACTAGCTGACAATTCGATTTCTGAACCCTTTCTATATCCTGATTCTAGTCTCTCTTTTTGAATTTGGAGAAATACTTATGTTTGAAGCATGGCGTTTAAGGGAGATCAACTCTGGTAAGTGTGCTAGAGATATGTAGGGAATCACCAGAGATAAGTAGTCGGTCAGTGATAGCACCAGAAAACTAATCCTAAATCAGGGTCTTTCCACTTGCGTTATTCACTGGAGTCATATGCCATGACCAGTTGCACCCTAAACAATTCTCTCCTCTTGTCTCCCGTAACCCTTCCTTGGAGCAGGTGCCATAGCTGATTCACGCCGACAGGGTTTTGGAACTCACCAGAAGACAGGTAGATCCCGGAGATCCTTTTCTGTAGCTGGTCAAATGAATCCCTGCCTAGTCACTTTTGTATCTCACCATAAGCCCAGGGGATAGAGAGAAGACACGTGCAGTGAATTTGTATCTGAAAATTCTTCAGGGAGGATTTAATCTCCAGAGGTTCGCAGTAACTACTGAGAATAAAACTAGAGTTCTTTTAGCTTAAAATTAGAGTTCT